GAGGATAGGGAACCTGAAATGACCCTATCCCATAGCAATACTGACGAATATCTTTCATATCACCATAGAACCTTCATCTGGTGATGGATGGAGATAGAGACAGAGACCCACACTGGAGCACTGGACTGAGCTCCCAAGGTCCCAATGAGGAGCAGATGGAGGGAGAACATGAGCAAGGATGTCAGGACCACGGGAGGTGCACCCACCCACTGAGACAGTGGGGGCTGATCTATTGGGAGCTCACCAACGCCAGCTGGACTGTGACTGAAAAAGCATTAGATAAAACCGGACTCTCTGATCATGGCTAACAATGACGACTGATGAGAAGCCAAGGTCAATGGCAAGGGGTTCTGATCCTACTTCATGTTCTGGCTTGGTAGGAACCTAGCCAGTTTGGTTGTTCACCTTCCTAGACATGGACAGAGGGGGGAGGGCCTTGGACTTTCCACAGGGCAGGGAAGCATGACTGCGCTTTGGATTAGAGAGGGAGGGAGAGAGGAGTGGGGGGGGGGAGAAGAGTGGGGGGAGGGGGAGAAGAGAGGGGGGAGAAGAGTGGGGGGAGGGGGAGGGAAATGGGAGGCTGGGAGGAGGCGGAAACTTTTTTTTTCTTATTCTCAATAAAAAAAAACATTGCATGTGGGGGTTGAGGCATAGGGGATTCTTTACAAACATCTTTTTTGTTTCGTTTTGTTTTCTTCAAGACAGAGTTTCTCTGTGTAGCCCCAGCTGTCCTAGAACTCCCTCTGTATACCAGACTGGCCTTCTAGATTTTCCTGCCTCTGCCTCCATGAGTGTTGGGATTAATGGCTTGGGCCAACACTGCCCTTCTTTACAGACATGTTTAACAGTTTAGAGAGGAAGTTGTTATATAGGATTGTTTCTGACCTTTTAGCTGGGTTTAGGATATGATTACCCCATTTATACACATATTTTGCTCTGAGTCAGTACATGGAAGAGTATATGGAAAAAAAAAAAAACAAAAGAAGTAAGATTGGTTGTAACATTGTTCTCTTAAAGGCAGGTTAAACAAGTAGGCTAAGTACACAGCAGGATACCAGGCCAAGTCTTTATATAATTTTATTTTATTTTATTTTGAGACAAGGTTTCTGTAGCTTTGGTGCCTGTCCTGGAACTAGCTCTTGTAGACCAGGTTGGCCTCGAACTCACAGAGATCAGCTTGTCTCTGCCTCTCTTGTGTTGGGATTAAAGGAGTGTGCCACCACCGCTCATTTCCAGGCCAAGTCTTAAGTGACCTCAAAGTATGTTGTGAACTTGGCTGTGGCGGTCAGCAAACGTTTCAGTTTCTTTCAATGTAAGAGATATTTTCATAAAGTTGTATCACCACAGTACAGTCTGGATAGGCACAGCTTCACAGTGGTGATGTATGACCCAAAAGCCTTGGCTTGCACCTCTAAAAGCAGAGGAGTAGGGCCTCAGTGGTTAAGAGCATTTTCTGCTTGTATAGAAGACCTGGGTTTGATTCCCAGCAACCACGAGGCAGCTCCAGGGTACCTGATGCCCATTCCTGACCTCCAAGGGCTCAGACATGCAGGTGGAGCACATACATACACTCAGGCACATACATATACCCATAAAAAGAATCAATGAAAACAGAGAACCTAGCAGACTTTGCATTTTTCATGTTTAACTTTCTTCTCTGCTTGCCCAGGGAAACTGGAAATGGGGTGACGTGAACCCTAGTAGACTAAGTCAGAACTTCATTAGATCTTTCACAGCTTTGCCAACACAGAAGAGGGCATTTTACAGTCAGGGTTACAGCTGCCTTCTCTTCTCATCCTGACTGGTGGCAGGCCATTGTATTTGAAGTTTTTATGTTCTGTCCTACATTTCCACATTTGCACTTTCTTATCTCCTCAAATCTGTGTTCAGTCGGAGTGGGGAACCTCACTGTCCTGGCTGCTTCTGCCCAGTGCACAGCCTTCATTGCTGACCTGTTCTTGCACCCAGGGTGCCCAGTCCTTCTCTTACAGCTGCTCAAATCTTTCCTGGATCCTTGCATCGCTTGCACTATTACACACTTTCTCTTCCTCATCCATCTACCAAGCGTGACACTGGCATGCTATTTTCATCTACAGAGTCCATGTTTCATAGTCAAATCATCAAACAAGTCACAACACTTTTCATTTGTTTGTATATAAAAGCAACCTTCTCTTGGGGGACAGGTTATGCAAAGATCAGAGGTTGGCCCTGGTCATCTTCAATCATGCTACAAAGCCCACGTTTAATAATCAAGTAACCAAATAAGTCACATTTCTTCTGTGTGTGTGTGTGTGTGTGTGTGTGCGCGCGCGTGTGTGTGTGTGTCTTGTGGCAGGGGTTATATGGAGGTCAAAGATTAACACTGGGTCTTCCTCAATCATGCTCCACATTCTTTTGTATAGAGTCTTTCACTAGCCCTGAAGACGGTCAATTCAGCTAAACTGACTTTCTAGCAAGCTCCAAGGATCTTCCTGACTCCACCTCCCAAGCAACAGAACTATACGGCCATGCCATATTTGTTGTTGTTGTTGTTTGATGTGGGTATTCAGGATCAAGCTCAGGTCCTCACAACTGCATGGCAGACACTTTACAGGTTGAGCCATCTTTCTAACCCATCTTGATGTTTTAGGTAATTTATCATTCTGTGTTGAGCTGCCTTCCTATCTACCCTGGTAACATGCAGCCCATGGGCCACTGTTAGGAAATACTTTGAACTATCCAATCAAAAGACAGAAGAGCTTCAAATTCTGTGTAGTCTAGTACTGTGATCATTAGTCACATGTGACTGTTAGTTACATGCTTAAAATGCGATTGAGCATGTGAATTCAAATTTGATTTAATTATCGCTCCTGTGGTCAGTGCTAATACATTGTGTAGTATCAGCTCTTGGCCCCATTAGCTCAAATGTCACTTTTTACTGAGTAGAGGGTTAAATTATTAAAATGACCCTGAGAACATAAAAAAAGATATTTTAAAAGCTCCTTTCTTAGAGTCTCTTATTAATTGATATGAGCTTGCATCGGAACTTGAATGTTTTGGAGGGTTCTCCCAGAGATTGTAATAACCAGCCAGGGTTGATAGCCATTGCTCTAGTCTCTACCTCCACAGTCTGATTCACAATACATGCTTGATATTCCAGAGACACTGGGAACCAGTCTGCATCATCAATGTAAGCATTTCTCTCTCCTTACCTCCAGGTTTCTTGACTGCATGATGAAATGCTTCCATTTCATCTACTGAATTAACACTGTGGGGGGCAGGCTTGGTAGAGTGTGTGATTGCACCATTTCACCTATTATGTATATATATTTGAGATAATTCATACTTTATAAACCTTCAATGAGGCTACGCCTGTGTGAGCTTGTATGCTATGTCAAAACCATCAACTTTAATTAAAGTCATATATCAATAAAAGACTTCTAGGCTAGACTGTAAATTCTGAAATGGCAAGGATTGCTACTATTTATTATCCTATCTATAGTATTCCATACATGGTATGTCACAGAGGCAGTAGATTAATCATTCTTTAATGAATAATTTACCCCCAAGAATTTAACCTCAAAAATTGCATTTGAAACCATATCCATATAGTACCTTGGTGGAAATCATCTATATTCTTGAATATATGAAGATGGTAGATCTTCTTGAGCTGAATTCATATGTGCTATGTGTGTCACATACGATGTGTATGCACATATGAGATGCATGTTTCCTCTGAACAGATGTAAGGGAATCCAGCAGTTGCCGCGTCCTCTGAAGGATCCCACAGCAGCTCCTGGTTGTGCACAGCTGGTTGCTTTTCTCTCCATCACTAGCGTCCTGGGAAATATGGTATTAAGACGGAGAGAACAGATGGTGCAGGGTGTGTTACTTGAGACAGTTTTGCCGGGAGGTAAATTTATGCTTTATAAATGTACTTCAAAACTGTGCTATTTGATTTAATCACTTAATGCAAAGACAGCTGCGTACTATATTCGCCTTAACTGCGGTTATATGGGTTATCTGCCAATCTGTTAATTATAGTATTTTGAAAGACTTTTGGAGGAAAAAAAAACAGTAATTATACAGATTGGGGTGGGGGAAAGGAGTATTTTTTGAAGCCTAAATTCAGACATTCGTTCCAGCTAACATAAACTTATTGACGCTTTAGAAAATCTGTAAAGAAAGTGGGAATCAATGGGATAGCTCCTCTTTGAATTACCTGTGTGTTCTCACTGCCTAGGTTACCATGGTGACTGCAGTGAGCGGGTGTGGAGTGATCCCTTGGCAGGCCAGTGCTTCAGGCTGCCCTCTAAGGTTTTCTGGCGACTGCTCAACCCTCTCAGAGAAAGAGGAGGAGGTTCAAACTTGATTCTGCCCTTGACATTTTCCTATTTTCCCACACCCTTCCTCTCTCAGCCTTCCATATCTGTTCTCTCTGCCTATGGTTTCAGTCATGATTAGCCAGACTTAAGAAAGGCTGGACTGGGGAAGGGGCACATTTTAAGCTTAGTCACACAGCTTAGTCTTATTCCATTTAAGATTTATAAAATAAAAGAGCCTTTCTTGCTGAACACTAAATGCCACACACTTGCAGAAAAAGTCTGGCCTATTTCCCTTACCCACTGGGAAGTCTTGTTCAATGAATTTCATTGTCTTTTGAGATTTCCTGTCTGTGGGCAGTACTGGGATAAAAGGCTGAATCAAACTGCACATCAAAGAACTGTGAGAAAACATTAACGCCTATCCGGTCAAAGCCTCTTACTGAACAGGGGAAGAAACTGAGGACCCATATTTTTTTTTTTGAGAATACAATTTAATTATACATTTCTGCCTGCCATTTTCACCTTCCAAACTCTCTCTCTCCTTTAAATGCATGGCTTCTTTTTTAATTGTTTTCCCATTCCCATGTGCATGTGTATGTATATATATATATATATATATATATACATATATACATATATATATAATATATTCCACGCATACATATATACACACATTTGTATATACATAGATATTCCTAAATAAAATCTATTGAATATATATTCGATAGATAGATAATAGAGAGATAGATATGTATATACATAGATATTCCTAACTATAACCTGTTGAGTATATATAATGTTAACTGTACAGGTTTTTTAGGACTGACATTTTGGCACTGGACAACCAATTGCCTACCCTGAGGAGGTTCACTTCTTCCACTTCCAATTTTCCTCAGTTACTTGTAGCTCTTTGTGTAGGTAGAGACCTCTTCAAGTTTGGCCAATCTCCTGGCTAGCTTAGACCCGAAAGAATCACACAGAAACTGTATTAATTAAATCACTGCTTGGTCCATTATCTCTAGCTTCTTATTGGCTAACTCTTTCATATTAAATTAACCCATTTCAATTAACCTGTATGTTACCACGAGGTTGTGGCCAAACAGCAAAGTGTCAGCACATCTATCTCCGGGTGCGACTCCATGGTGTCTCTCTGACTCTGCCTTTCTTTCTCCCAGCATGCAGCCTAGCTTTTCCTGCCTACCTAAATTCTGCCTTGCTGTAGATCCAAAGCAATTTCTTTATTCATTAATGCTAATCACAGCACATGGAGGGGACTCCCACATCATTTGCCTAGTCATTGGTGTCTTCCTTCTTCAGCTCACATGTGGGCAGTCGTGTTGGTGAGACTTTATGGGTACAGCTTCTGGTGTTACTAGGAGACACAATCTCACAACAAACTCCCTAGTCCTCTGGCTCTCTCTGCCCTTCTTCTGCAGTGAAGACTACACTTTTCTGTTATTATAAGGAGAAATGTTTAAGGATTATTGTTAGGAACCATGCTGGTTTAATATATTAGTGGTTGTGGATTAGCTTTTGTATTAGTTGAAGAAAAAAGGGGGCACAGCCCTCAGTTATCCTAATAATCTAATAGTCTAATACATAACTGGCTGGAGCCTCCCTTTTCCACAGCTTTCAGTGCAACCCATACTGAGACTCAGGACCCTGGGACTGAGCATCACAACCTGAAAGGACATAGAGTGCTTACTATGTGCTAAGCCTGGAGATGAATACTTTCCAAATATCATCATCTCAATGTAAACCTCTACCCACTATGGTGTAAGTGTTGTTTTATGCATTCTACTGGGGAGGAAGCTGGCTTTCAGAGTGAAGATACTCTGCTTACGTCACACTGTAAGTTTCTAATGGAGTCTCACAGTCAGATGTGGGTTTGTATAAGGACCAAAGGTCTTATGCTCCCCAGAATGTATAATTCTTTTTGGAATCTTTTTTCCCAATCCTTTTTTTTTTTTACCAACTCTGCAAGGCCATGTTTTGAATCATGTCTATGGCTTGTTACTCCTAGGCAATCTTCTGCCTCAGAATTCATCTAATGAATATGTCACAGGCCTATTACATAATGTTCAACATCCCTAGCTGGTAAACTGGTATTGAAGATATCTGGTGGAAATGAGAAGAAAACACGAGCCGCAAAGAAACCCACCTAGGAGTTTATAAAGAGGGGATGTGCACAACGGGCCCGAGGAAATGGTGTGAAAAGGAAGAGAGTCGTAAAAATGGCACGTCCAGCTTTAAGGCTTCCTAGCACATGCGCATGAGGGGAAAGATGTGCTTACGTCAGACGCTAATGACGGCGATGCTACGACTTGCACCTGCGTACCGGGGCTTTTGCATCAGACACAGATGGCACAGATGGCACAGATGGCGGGTGACCCACGCATGCGCACACAGGGAGTACATGCACCTGCTTTAGAACCAGGAAGTGCAGTCTTACGAGTGGCTAAAAGAATTACAGGTATGGGTTTAACCCAGGTCATCTAGAATGTCATCCACTTTATTTATATAACTAAGACCCATGTTTTTATTAAATTTCTAACATGCATACCTATGGTTAATGACAATTTTCTTGTTTTGTGTCCGTGGCCATGTTTTTTATTAGTATTCTTTTGTTTCCATCCAATTGTGTTCCCTTTCTGATATTTTTGTAATACTGGTAAATTCTAGTATGCATCCTGCCACCAGGCTAGCTTAACCCCTGAAATAACTACACAGAAATTATATTAATTAAACACTGTCTGACCCATTAGTTCTGTACTCTTATTGACTAACTCTCACATCTTGATTCAACCCTTTTCTAATAATCTGTATGTCACCACGAGGTCATGGCTTACAGGGAAAGATTCAGCATGTCTGACCTGGCAGCTTCATGGTGGGCGGCTCTCTCTGACTCTGCCTTCTTCCTCCCAGCATTCTGTTCTGTCTACTCTGCCCACCTAACGGCTACCCTATCAAAAGGCCAAGGCAGTTTTCTTTATTCAACCAATGAAAGCAACACATAGAAAGAAGATCCTCCTACAACAGTAAATTTAAAAAAAAAAATCAGACAAACAACAAACACATTTGTCTTCTCTAATGAGGGGACTTAACTTACATCAGTCAAAAAAAGCTTGTGCATTGGAAAGGCCCTGAATTGAAAGGGAGAAGAAACTTTATTACTGATGCTGAAAGTTAGGGAGGAAGGAAGACTGTGTACTCTTAGGGAATTAAACAGCTACCAGGGAAGATCTGTCCTTACTCCAGTGCTGTTTATTTCTCTAGTTGAAAATGTAGCTTTGCTCTTAGGAGGTCAGGTCAATGCGGAGGGATTTCCCAGCCCCAGAGAGAAATCCAAGGCAACTCCTGGCACCGTCCCTTTCATCAGCAGTGCATGACAACACCCCCAAACACCATGATTTCCAGTGTTCTCCACTGTCGTCAGGCATAAGAATCTGTCTGGCTTCAGTCATTCTGTTTTTGAGGGTGATTGATTAGACCAGGAATGATAGCAACTATCCAAACAGTGAAAGACCTACTTTATAGGCTGTGTTTTTCCCTATTTTTATGCTGTTTTACCCAAGAGAGGCCTTATCATACAACAAAAGTATATGCTCTACTATGTTCATAGCATCACTGTTTGTAATAGCCAGAACCTGGAAACAACCTAGATGCCCTTCAATGGAAGAATGCATTAAGAAAGTATGGAATATATACATATTAGAGTACTACTCAGCAGTAAAAAACAAGGACTTCTTGAAGTTTGCAGGCAAATGGATGGAAATAGAAAACACCATCCTGAGTGAGGTAAGCCAGACCCAAAAAGAGGAACATGGGATGTACTCAGTCATATTTGGTTTCTAGCCATAAATAAAGGGCATTGAGCCTATAATTCATGATCTTAGAGAAGCTAAATAAGAAGGAGAACCCAAAGAAAAACATATAGGCATCCTCCTGAATATTAAACTTCATCAGGCAATGAAAGGAGACAGAGACAGAGACCCACACTGGAGCATCAGACTGAAATCTCAAGGTCCAAATCAGGAGCAGAAGGAGAGAGAGCACAAGCAAGGAACTCAGGACCATGAGGGGTGCACCCACCCACTGAGACAATGGGGATGTTCTATCGGGAACTCACCAAGGCCAGCTGGCCTGGGTCTGAAAAAGCCTGGGATAAAACCGGTCTCTCTGAACATAGTGGACAATGAGGACTACTGAGAACTCAAGAACAATGGCAATGGGTTTTTGATCCTACTGCACCTATTGGTTTTATGGGAGCCTAGGCAGTTTCGTGGATGCTCACCTTACTAGACCTGGATGGAGGTGGGTGGTCCTTGGACTTCCCACAGGGCAGGGAACCCTGATTGCTCTTTGGGCTGATGAGGGAGGGGGACTTGATTGGGGAAGGGGGAGGGAAATGGGAGGCGGTGGTGGGGAAGGGACAGAAATCTTTAATAAATGAATAAATAAATAAATAAATAAATAAAATAAAAAAATTTAAAAAAAAAAACAAAATATCATTGAAGTGACAGACAAAACATCAAACTCAATCAAATATAACAAAACTAGCAAAGTCAATTCAAGAGAAAGAACATTTTTTTCAATAAATGAGGATAGAAATTTGTCCAAATATGTGTAAAAGTACAATTCTAAACAAGAATCACACTTTTCTCAAAAAACAAACAAACAAAAACAACAAAACCCAAATAAGCCACAATTCTAAATGTGAAATTTCAAGCTGGAAAAGGCTTAGAACACAACACAGGCTAGAATACATATGAGCTTTACATATGACCCAGAAATAAGAGGAAAAGAGGGATAAAATAATTAAGATCAATAAAAATTATTAACACAAGAAAAAGTTATAACAGATATCGCAACAAAAAGATATATACATTGGCAATATTATATATTATTAGCAATATTTTTATAAATAATATATTAATATGTTCTAGCACTATTATAAGATGTCAGAAAATGAAAAAAGTCAAAGGCAAAAAAACAGGAATAAAAATATTTGTAATACATTGTAAAATAAACATATCAAAATTCTTATCATATTTCATGTCATTAGAGAAATTAAAATCTAAAATAATTATAAAATAACACTACATAAATATTAGACTGAGAAACGTCAAAACTGCCAGTAACATAAGAAATAGAGAAATGGGGAATAAAGTTTATTGCTTATGGGACTATAAAATGGTATTGTCACTTTGGTTGAAAATTTGCCATTTCTTCTGTATATATGTGCAAAATGTATATAGAACTTCCCGAGTCCATTTGTATTTTCTCTGATGTGCATGTGTCCAGGGATGCTCACTTGGGATCCGACCACCTATGTGGGAGCCCCAGAAAGAGACTGCTTCTCATCGAGTCGCCTTAACTGTTTGTCTAGAGGTGGGACCATGTGAAATTTCCTCCTTCCATGTTGGCATGTCAACAAGTGTTGTTGCTATGCTGATCTTGTTCAGGCAACTGCATTGCTGGGAGTTCATGGGTGCTACTTCTCTGTCACTATCTCCCTGCAGACTAAGTCCTAGTTATCTGTTTCTTAGGATCTTTCTCCTCTTCTGCAATTTTTCTGAGCCTTGGTTGTTAGGATGCACTGGAGATAAATCAATTGGGGTTGGGTACTCCACATCCTCTTATCCTCTATATTTGACAAGTTGCAGATTTCTGTAATAGTTTCCATCTGGTGCAGAAAAGAGCTTCTGTGATAAAGGGTAAGGCTACAGTATCTGTGGGCATACACAGTATGACTTTATATTAGGACAATGGCAGGAAACAGCTCTTCTCAGCTCTATGACATCTCCAGCCATGTATATTTGAGTAAGTTTACCATACACAACATGAATTCTCTCTGGCTGTGTGGGTTTTAAGTCCAATTAGCGCTTAGATACCTCCAAGATAAAAGTGGTACTAGTGTACCATTGTGGATATTTTGCCAGTCTATCCATTTGGCGAATCATCTGACTAGAAAAACCAATTGTTCCTCTCTTTTGGAAGCTTCTATAGAAACTTCCTGGATTATGAAAGTCTATACTCTGAAAGGGCTGAGGCTTCCAGGTGAGGTCCAGCTCAGTTCTATGAAAGGCTGTGTTTGAGGTATATGGCATCTTCTGCAATAAGCATTAGGGCCTTACCGTCAACTTCTAGGATGCAACCAAGACCAATGACAATATTGTTTTGGGAGTCTCTTAGATTCTACTGACCAGCAAATCACAGGAAGGTTTCCTATACTTGGCACTGTGGGTTTTTTTTTGTTGTTGTTGTTGTTAGCTAGCTTGTGACTCTTGTGCAGGGAGCATTATTACCCAAGTGGCATCACTTTACTTTAATTTACTATATATCCATACATGCATGAACTCATATATGTACTTTTAAGCAAATATAAAATAATGTTTCATGACTTTTTCAATCTCTTAAATGGTTTTTATTCACCCCTCTATTTTCCCCATTTCCTCCTTCATAAAACCCATGTCCTACTATTCCCCCATCTACCCATGAAGTGAAAGAAGCCAGCCTAGAAAGATCACAAACAATGAAATTCCAAAGAAACATAAACAGTGATGGGATCAATCATTGCCAAAAGGGAGAAATAAATCAAGGAAGCACGAAGAAATTTTAGGGTAAGCAAGCTATCATTTATTGCTATAAAGCTGGCATTTTGCATTTGTCAAAACATAGAAATTTAACTTTAATATAAACTGTAAAATTCAGTTAATTGTATCAATTTTTTTTTTCATTAAGAGTGCAGTGAGGGGATGGTATGATGACTCACCATGTAAGGGTACTTGCCACCAGGTTTGACAACCTGGATTTGATTCACAAAACCCGCATGGTAGCAGGAAAGAGCAGATTCCAACAATTGGTTCTTTCACCTCCATATGTGCACTGGGACATATGCAAATACAGAAATAAACACATATAAACAAACAGACATATGTAAAATGTACATATATACACTTTTTAAAAATGTTAAAAGTAAAATATCTAGGAGACAAAACTTTAATTCTTTCTGTTGATTGTTGCCCATTAGACGAGGATCTAGTCTTCCACCATCATGCAGCAAGCTCATCATCTAGGCCTCAAGGCTTCACCCCTACCTGTGAGTAGTTCTTTAAGCCCAGCACCCTCCCCATCCCAAGAAGTCCTACCCATATCTACAAATCATCACCAATTGTCTGTGTGGGAGGTCTTCACATAGTCCCACTGGGACTTCACACAGGTGCCCTCCTGGGACACATTACCATGACTCTTGAAAAACAGAAACAGGGAGAACAAACCTTACCAGGGTTATTTATTTTCTCCATTTGGCTGTCTTTTGTTTGTGAGTTGGTTTGTACATAAGTGTGTGTGTGTGTGTGTGTAATAGTTGTTTGCTTGTTTAATTTTTGGTAGAACCTGCTTTTGATTTTGTATTTTATCCTTAACATTTTAGTGTTTTAATTTCTCTAATATTTTATACCTACTTAAAATTTTGTACCTTGTAAACTCACTATGTTTTCAACATCTTTCTCACCAAAATAGGCCTCCATTACTGTTCTTCATTGTTCTACACCTAAAAACATCTTGTCTTCTACATTCAAAATAGATCAGCTGCTACCTCAACTTCCAACTGATATATCTTCTTTACCATACTGAATACTCTCTTTCCTCTTTTTCCCACCCATTCTTCACTTTACTATTAAGAATCACTTAAAAATATGTCAATCAAACCAACCAGTATTGCAGTGTCCACAATATAATAGAACAAAGAGTACAATTTTATTAGCTTCACATTCATTTCTGTATTTATGCAATCAGATAAGATTGGGCCCATTCCCTATGGCATACCTGTAGACTTTCATATTTTAAAACTTGGAGTTACCCTATACAAAGGGTAATATTTCTTCTAGAAGTCATAGGTAGCTGAATAAAATGTCCATATCAGGCGTGGAATACCGCCCTTAAAGGTTTTGGTTGAATATGCCCAGATAACTCCTAAACATTACAAGTTATTGCCACTGCCCTTGGCTGTCCCTCAGAACTTGATAAGATCCTATTGCTTACAGTACCACCCAGTTTGGTCATAAGACATAGAGAAATGAATTAGTACTGACCAGAAGATATTCTCTCTGCATAGAAGGTGTTGTGCAGGCTCCTGGTTGGGGAAGGGTCTAGCTGTTTTACTCAGCTATGAACTCTTGTAGCTACAGTAATAATCACTTTGGCAGGATATGCCCATGCATGCAATAGTGGCATATATTCTATAGGGGTAACCAATTGCTTTCTGATTGGATATAAGACCCATTCCATAGGAGGAAATTCATGTCTTCCGAATAAATTGAACCAAGAACCTCAGGCTAAGAAGCTGATGGTTCCAGAGGTGAGGCTACTACTATTATTTTGCTAAGTGTTAATAATATCTAGCCTGCTGACTAAATTGTATCTCTATACCCATAGACTAGTGAGGCTCTCAGATATTATCAGAGAAGTTTCTTTGCGCAGAGGATGGTGGTTAATCCCAAAACTTACCACTGGTTAAAGTGTAGAGAATAAGTCTCTATGGTGTGCTCAGGCATAAACAGGATATCAATATCACCTTCCTCCCAAAGTTCAGAAATCATGTGCAAAAAAAGGTCTAGGAGATCAGGGAGGCCCAGATCAAAACACTGCCTCCTTGGAATGGAAGAAGGACTGTGGTCATAAACACAGAGCGACTTGGCTATACAAGACCTGCACTGGAACAAGCCAGTCAACATTCCAACATGGAGGGGATGGGCTTATGTGGCTCTATCCCTAACTGATAGACTTCTGACAGTTGATGCTGCTAGGTGAAAGGTGTCACGTTTCTTTAATATTGTCTACACTGTTAGTTCTACCACATTTCATTAGATGTCCCTACCCCTGTGAGTATATGGACAGTATAGACTGGACACAGTGGATTATAAAATACGGAGAAGGTGAAGTTGGGAGGGGCTCTGAGAAGGGTGTTCTGGGACAAGTTAGGGAAGGTGTGGGGGATGTATATGACTAAAATGCAAAGGTAAACTGATATGAAATTCTCAAAAAATTAATAGCAATATTATATTTTATGAATCACTAACTTCACAGAGGGTATAAGCTAAGATACTATGAGATTAAGAGTGGAAGACAACCTAGGAAGTTAATATAGGTGAAGACTTTTTATTTATAATATATATATTCATGTATAGGGCATTTTATTTTATATCAAGTAACAATATTCCCAGTTTTAAGTTACTTTGTAATGTTCAGGTTGACATTATTTGTTATACAATATAAACAGTTCTCTGCTAAATACAAAAAAAACCCAACAACCTTACTCATATCAAATAACTGTGGAGTGACACTCCCTGATGATCAGTGTGTCCCAGGGGCAAGATTACATATCTTTGTTCACAAAATACCCCCTTCTGATGCATTCTGCTCACCTAGAGCCACACCTTCTGTACTTCACACTGCCCTACACTACTTTGTACGCCTTTATACAGAGAAGTTTTGGATAAAATGAATTTGAAATGGATTAAGAGAACAAAGGCTGTTACTCAGGGCATGCCTGTGGCTGTATAGAACTCATGCTAGGGCAGAGCTGAGGAAGCAGCTTGTGTCTGAGTAAGCCTCTCTGCTCAGAAGTAGCAGAGAGAGTGTCAGAAAGGACATCACTCCCTTCTGAAGAGAAAATGGTGCTCAGCCTGGAGTTATAAGAGCACCATGTGTGTGGGTTAAAGTCTTGAGAAAGTACCTAAACACCAATCCCACTGGATACTTGTGATGGAAAGATGACCAAAGTGCCGAGCTCAATGCACACTCCAAACCAGGATATAGCACTGATGTGCACTCAATATTGCTCTCATTTTCCTCTCGTATTGCCCTAACTCGGTCTTTCTTAGTCAAGGAATAAGCAGAAATACCTCATAAGCAGCACATTGTTTTGAATACTGTATATGCTGAAGAAATGCTTCCTAGTTCGTATTTTAATTTCAATGAATTATATTTACATTCCAAATGTAAATATAATTTACATTTGGAATTTACATTTGGAATGGAATGTATACATTCCAAAGCACATGTAGCCCAGGTTGTTTATCTGTAGTCATTGTCCCTTTCCTTCTGGGGCATATTACAGCATCTCAAACTCAGTTCCAAATCCTTGCCTCAAATGAAACATCAGGTCCTTTCTCCTACATCCTCCAGGAAAAGTTACACATATCACATGGATGGCATATCTAGACACCACACACTTTTGGCATATGCTCAAGAATTTGGGAGCATAGCTATTGCAATGCATGATTACATGGTGTTCTGGAATTTTTTATATATCCTGAATAGCACACAATCTTTGTATGGTAGTCCTAATTTATACTTGTCTGGGGTAAGAATGTAAAGGTAAGAAGTAAGAGGTAAGGCATAAATTTTGACAAACAGGAGGATGCTCCTTATGTAGAACCGCTGCCCTGTTACACCATAACTTTTAGACAGACTATTAAGAAGCTGCTCTTCCTCTGCTACATTAAAGCAACCACACTAGCCTGCTTGTTGTTTAAAAAACAACAACAGCAAACTTCAGACTTGAGCATGTAAGGCTGCTGGTTCAGATGGTGGACAGCAGACAGCATACTATAATCCAAAGGTAAACAATGGTGAGTTGATGCTTACGTCCTCCATGATGACAAGAGCCTTGGGTTTTCATTTTGTTTTCTGGACAATTTTCAAGATACCTAAAAATCAAAAGGACCTAAACAAAAACTCATAATATAGTGAGGATGAAACAGCTGGAATTTGCAGGAAGATTATAGGAGACACAACCAGTAGTGAAAATACTTGCAGAAATCTGAGCAGATGTTCTCTGGAGTCTCTTCCTGAATCTTAAATTACACAATGCCCAACCTCAAAGTCCACTAAGGAGGAGACAGTGAAGTCTCATACAATGAATGTATCCATATTCCCACACCCATTCTGAAAGCCCGAGGCCTTCGGTGTTGACCTTAAGCCTGCAGAGGAAAAGCTATTGTTGATCCCACCAATTGAGAACAAAACAATTACCACAGCTTAAAGTTGTTGTAATAGGGGCGGCGGGGCTGCGTCCCCAGCACCCCGGCTGCCCGCTAGCTTATGCCCCAAAATAACAACACACAGACTGTATTCTTCTAAACACTGCTTGGCCCATTATGTCTAGCCTCTTCTCGGCTAACTCTTGCACCTGAACTAGCCCATTTCTAATAATGTGTGTAAGCACCCCAAGGAGTGCTTACTGGGAAGATTCTAGCCTACGTCCATCCTGGGTCGGAGCTTCATTGCATGTGCCTGCCTCAGAGAGCAGAGCTATCGAGTCTCTGAGCTTACTTCCTCTTCCTCCCAGCATTCTGTTCTGATTACTCCACCCACCTATGTTCTTACCTATCAGGGCCAAGGCAGTTTATTTAACCAATGACCTTCCTCCATCATAAAGTCGAATTTGAAACAAGCTTTATTTAAATACTGGCCAGGTAGAAAGGTTCTGGCCAGGTTCATCTCTGGTTTCCCAGAAAAAAAAAAATGGCCCTGCATTAAGTTTTGCAGTGGCTTGAGTATTTCCCATCAAGTCCAATCAGAGGCAAACATACATCCTGACATATTTCCTTCCTGTGACCCCCCCTCCTATGTGTGATCAAATATATCTGGTGCAGATGGGTCAAAGAAATTTGTTTGGGTTAGTTAAAACATGCGATTTGTTATCTCTCATAAACAATAGCCTCCAGTATTTCAGGAGCTATGCATCTCTGGGCAAGGGGCTTGCAGATCAGAGGCATTTGTGTTTCATGTATCTCTATGGCATAGTAATTAAAACATAAAATTATGTTACTTTTGATCACACGCTACTCTGGCCAGTCACAACCTGGATTAAAAATAAGGTTCAAAAAGGTCACACTGATATGGATATTATTTCACTACCTCCCATAACTAACTCCAGCACTTACTGAAAAGAAATGACCCAATCAAAACAATTGTTTTGGGGTCTGAGAAATGACTCAGCAGTTAAGAGCACTGATTGCTCTTCTAGAGAAACTGGATTTGATTCCAAATACCCACATGGTGGCACACAACTTTGTCTATAACTCCAGTCTTAGGGAATCTAGCATCTTCTTCTGGCCTCTCTAGGCACTAAGCATGCATGCAGTGCATAGACATACATGTAGGCAAAACACCAGGACATGGGATTAATACTTTTAAAACATAATTGCCTTTGTGTGAAAATTCCCTATCTCAAATTAAATATGCAATAAACTAAAGCAGTATGGCATTGTCTAAAAGGAATGATAAACCAGTTACTAGATATAGTCCAGAATTAAAGTGATGGTAAAATCAGCAAAGACGTTAAATGAATTATGATATAAATGCCATTGACATGTCATAGAGGTATGGTGTATAAGAGTGTTAATCCTAGAACTAAAAAATGTAAGACATGAAATTTAAAATGTAATGGATATGGTAAGCAACATGCATTCTCACAGAAAAGATACTAGGAGTCAAGATGGGAAAACCGAGAAACATGAAACCAACCAACAGGCACAAATTAGAACAGAGTCTCAACTGTCCGTGACATAATATCAAGTGACTTACTGTGCTCATAACTAGAGTCCCAGAAAAAAAAAGATATGTTACAAATGATTTCCCAAAAATGACCTTTGTCTTTCAAACTTGGTGGGATCAAAAAGAAAAAAAATCCAACAGTATAAATCCTATGAACATATCAGGTAAACCATAAACGACCAGCAGCAAAATCATCAGAAACAGTAACGCCAGAAGAGAACAGAGTGGACACACGGTATTTTAAGCACTGAAACTGAGAATAATGTCAGATTTGTTGGAAACTCTGCGAGCTGCATGGAGTTGGCTGCTCTGGTTCCTATTACCTGCTCTACAGAGTGGTGGCTACAATGACAGAAGGTTTCCTTGTAGTTCTGGAGGTTAGAAATACTTCTGAGTGATTTTTTTTCTGAATATCTTGTTTGTTCCATGATCATTTTATTACTTAGGGTTTTCAGAGGGATGAAAGAAATAGAATATATTAGATATGTATAATATAACTTAACATACATCATTTCTTTTTTTGGTCGTTTTTTTTTTGGTTTTTCAAGACAGGGTTTCTCTGTAGCTTTGAAGCCTGTCTGGAACTCCCTTTGTAGACCAGGCTGGCCTTGTCTACAAGAGCTAGTTCCAGGACAGGCTCTGAAGCCAAAAAGAAACCCTGTCTTGAAAAACCAAAAAAGAAAAATACATTTAACATACATCATTTCTATCTATCATGATTGTACACTGCATGACATGTTATACATATATGTATTCGTGTCATATATGTCTATGCGTGTGTATGTGTTGACACTTTTACTCATTACCTGCTTGGTTTACATGCTATGAGGAATAGGGTCTCCTGGCTATGGAGCTTTACATGGAGGTTGTAAACCAGCTGTCCTCTTCCTGCAGATCTGGGAAAGCTGATGCTATGAATCAGTTCTAGCACAATGGTCTAAAAACAAAGGGAGCTGATGATGAAATCCAAGTCCACGGACATAAGAAGATAAGACGAGGTGTCTCTATTCAAGAGTTAAATCAAGAAAAAGAACATTCCTTTCCATCTACATTTTGTACTAACAAGGTCCACAGCATATAGTTTGTGCTTGCCACATTGAGGAGCACAATCTTCTTTATAACCTCTGACATTCAAATCTAAACTTCATTCTGAAATACCCTCAGATCCATTTGGACACCTTCAAGTTTCAGTGTAATACACTCACTTCCACCTAGAACACAAAAATAAGGAAATAGCATCTTTCAAGTCAAGTGTAATTTAAGATTTTTCACCTATATTACAGAAAACTAACCAACAAAGGTATCTTCCAGAACTTTCACAAGGTTTTTGTTCTGCATTCTTCTGTGTCTTCCTGAAAGGACCAATCATATCAGACTGCAGTCCAAATAGGCAACTTAATTTTACCTTAATTACCTTGTAAAATACTCCATATCCAAACATAGCTGCATTTTCACTACAGGATCTAGGATTTCAATATATGAGTAGAGAAGACACAATTCAGTCTATAACATCAGTCAATAAGAAGGCATCCTCGAAATGATAAATGGAAATAAAATAATTAAGTCATTATATAAATGAAATTTTAGAGGTCCAAAGTCTAAGACTAGGTGGTCCATTAGTTTAGCCTTCTTGTAAGAGCATTAAGTGACTGTCATCAGTCACAGAGAAACACAGTAAGAATAACCATATGACAAACAGGAATCCAGAGAGATATTGCTGAGATAAAGTTCAAAGATTATCACAGCCCTCTTCTGAGAACTGCGTAGAGGTCACATGGAAGTTTCCCTAATGATAAATACATGTTGTGAACATTGACTTTCGGGCATTTTAGATTCCTCTGTTGAGAGTTCTTTGTTTAGGTCTGTACTCCAATTTTTATGGGATTATTTGTTCTTTTGATGACCAATTTCTTGACTTCTTTGTATATTTTGGAGATCAGACCTCTGCCTGATGTGAGGTTGGTGAAGATTTTTTCCCATTCTGTAGGCTGTCGTTTTGTCTTGTTGACCGTGTCCTTTGCTTTATAGAAGCTTTTCAGTTTCAGGAGATCCCATTTATTAGTTGTTTCTCTCAGTGTCTGTGCTACTGGGGTTATATTTAGGAAGTGGTCTCCTGTGCCAATGTTTTCAAGTGTACTTTACACTTTCTCTTCTATGAGTTTCAGTGTGGATGGCTTTATGTTGAAATCTTTGATCCATTTGGACTTGAGTTTTGTGCATGGTGATATATATGGATCTATTTTCATTCTTCTACATGTTGATATTCAGTTAAAGAAATGCTCAACATCCTTAGTCATCAGAGAAATACAAATCAAAACAACTCTGAGATTCTATCTTACACCTATAAGAATGGCCAAGATCAAAAACACTGATGATAACTTATGCTGGAGAGGTTGTGGGGTAAAGGGAACACTTCTGCATTGCTGGTGGAAGTGCAAACTGGTACAGCCAATTGGGATATCAGTGTGGTGATTTCTCAGAAAATTAGGAAACAACCTTCCTCAAGACCCAGCAATACCACTTTTGCATACATATCCAAAGGATGCTCAATCGTGCCACAAGGAAATGTGCTCAATTATGTTCATAGCAGCATTATTTGTCATAGACAGAACCTGGAAACAAACTAAATGTCCCCTCGACCAAAGAATGGATAAAAAAAAATGTGGTACATTTACACAATGGAGTACTACACAGAAGAAAAAAATATGACATCTTGAAATTTTCAGGCAAATGGATGGATCTTGAAAACATCATATTGAGTGAGGTAACCCAGCCCCAGAAAGACAATTATCATATGTACTCATTCATAAGTGGTTTTTAAACCTAAAGCAAAGAAAACCAGCCTACAAATCACACTCCCAAAGAACCTAGACAATGACTAGAACCCTACTTTTCTCATTGGTTTAACCTCTAATTGTAATTTATTGAAATTAAAAATATCACTGGACAAGCTCCAGAGCAACACAGAGAAATACTGTTTAAAAAAAACACAAAACAACAAAAGCAAAAAAAATAGAACATAGAAAAAGAAACACATAAAAAGACTCAAAATTGGCAGAACAAGGCAAAAATTAATGAAATAGAAATGAAAAGTAAAATAATGAAATAAACAAATGATTCTTTTCAATGATAAAAAACAGAGTGACAAAACTCCAGAAAAACAAGTTAAAAGAAAGCACAAAGATCACAGTTAACAAAATTAGTGATTAAAAAGACTACATTACAAGCTGAACAGTGGTGGTGCATGCCTTTATTCCCAATACTCAGGACGCAGAGGCAGGCAGATCTCTGTGAGTTTGAGGCCAGTCTGGTCCACAAGAGCTAGTTTCAGGACAGGCTCTAAAGCTACAGAGAAACCCTGTCTTAAAATACAAACAAACAAACAAACAAAAACGAAGGAGAAGGAGAAAGAGAAGGAGGAGGAGGAAGAGGAGGAGGAGGAGGAGGAGGAGGAAGAGAAGGAGGAGGAGGAGGAAGAAGAAGAAGAAGAAGAAGAAGAAGAAGAAGAAGAAGAAGAAGAAGAAGAAGAAGAAGAAAGAAGAAAACTGCAATACAATAGGTACTAATAGAATTTATAAAGTCATTGGAACAAATTTTAAACTTTACATTCCACTAAATTTGAAAAATCTAGAAAAAGTGGGTTAATGTCTAAACCCAAGTGTTGTACCCAAATTAAACTATGAAAAGACCAACAACTTACAAAGATCTATAACAAGCAAAAACATCAAAAATTTTCCAATGGAAGTAAGTCCAGGCCCAGGTAGATTCACTGTTGAATTCTCCCAGACTGTCAACACGGAAGTGCCCCTGATGTGCTAGTGTCTTCTGTGAAGTGGGTAGGAAGAGAACACTGCCACGCAAAATCCGCAGAGATATGGCAACTGCAATAAGGAAAATGATAATTTGATACTCACAATGAACACAGTTGCAAAAATTCTAAAACAGAACTCAAAAACTTATCAAAACTAACACTCACCATGAACTAGACAGATTCTTTCCATAGATGCAGGGATAGTTAAAAATACACAGGTCCACAACTGTAATCCTTCATATCAAATGGATTAAGTACAAAAATCACATGGTCATCATAATAGGTTCAGAAAGGGTTTTGACAAAAGTCCAACATTTCTTTATGATAAAAGCCAGGAAAAGACTTGGAATAGAAGGAACATGTTTCAACATAATGGAAAGTGTATACAATAAATCTATAGTCAATAGAGATAGTTTAAATTAAAATCAGGATCAAGACAAATGTATATTCTTTCTAGTTTTTTAACTCTTATTCAATATAGTGTCTGAAGTACTAGATAATCAACAATGAAAAACAATAAAAATAAATAGAAGACAAAATATCCCAATGTTACAGACAACATTCTCTTGATATAAAGCTCCATAAGGACTCCAATAGAAAGCTCTCAGAGCTAATAAATACTTTCTGCAAACTTATAGTACACAAAATTAACATACAAAAAGCAGTAACCTGCCTATAAACCAATTTCAAGAAAGAAATTTTGTGAAATCTCCCCTTCACAACTACCCAAAGCAAAATAAATAAATAAATAAATAAATAAATAAATAAATACTACATTAGAAGAAACCTAATCAAGGAAGCAAAAGACATCTATAACAAAAACCTTAAAACACCAGAGATAAAATTTGAGGAAGATTCTAGTTGATGGAAAGACTGCCCATGCTGACAGATCAGAATTTATATTATGAAAATGGCTATGGTACCAAAAGCAATTTATAGAGTTAACATGATCTCCTTCAGTATTCTATTGCCATTCTTCATTGAAATATATTTTAAAAATCTTAAGCTATATATGGAAGCCCTGCTCAGCAAACAGGTCAATACAAAATACTTGATTTCAAGTTATACTGAAGAGCCACAGTAAAGGCAGCATGACGGTAACACAAAAGTTGATATACAGATCAGTGAAACAGAACATATGACCCAGACATACGCCCATACAACAGCACCTAATTTTTATAAAGATGCAGAAATAGAAATAGACATTAAAGATAGTCTTTTCCATCAGTGGTGCTGAGAAAACTGGATGTCCATGCAGAGAAGAGTTAAATTCGGTCCCTATTTCTCACCCTGCAGAAAATCAATCTGAAGAGATGAAAGTTCTTAGCATAAAACCTGGAACTCTAAAAATGATAGAGGAGAAAGTAGGTGAAACCCTTCAAATAGAGATGGATCAGGCTTTTTCTTAACATAACTGAAGTTGCTAAAGAAACAGCACCAATATGTGACAAATGGAACTTCATGGGACTGAAAGGCTCATCCTGCTAAGATGTCACTTTGCTCCAAACTGATTCACACATTCAACACAAGTCCATCCAAAATATCAAAAGGCTTATTTTGTAGACTTTGAAAAGTTGACTCTAAAACTTAAATGAAAATGAGCAGGTCCTAATGTAGTCAAAACACGTTGAACATTAAGAACAAGGATAGATTTATGTTTCAAGGTATAGCAATAAAATAATTAAGATTATATCAGCATATAAAGAGAAAATGAACTGAAAAGAAAAAAAATGATTTTGCAACTATGTGGATAGGTGAGTGTTCACTAAGGAAGAAAAGGAAACAGAAAAGAAAGGACAGTCTTCTTAACAAAGAACACTCAGATGATTGACATGTACATAAAGCACATAAGTAATGAACACTTAGATACACACCTCACACCACATTTGGAGGTTGCCCAACACAAACTGCAAGTACTGAACAAAAACTGCTGACAATTTAGAAGAAAATATTTGTGTGTAGGCAAAGATTTGTTTAGATTTTCTTCAAGTTAACAGTCCATAAAAGAACAAAGCAATAATCTGTCTTCAAAAGTCAACTTCCATTCTATAAGAGAAGCTGATGAATGAGTAGAGAATTGTGGGTCCCTCCTACTCAAGGGCCAGAGACAGATGATCAGAAATTCCCTGCTAGTCTGAACTATACAGTAGGACTCTGTCTCAAGAAACCACCAGACTGGGCTGGAGAGATTGATAAAACCATAAACCACAAGGAAATAGATAGACATGATCTCCCCTCCTCCCCACTGATGGAGGAAGGACATTGATTAATTATAATAAAGAAACTGCCTTGGCCCATTTTATTGGCTAGAACATAGGTGGGTGGAGTAAACAGAGAGAATGCTGGGAAAAAGAAGCTGAGTCAGAGAGTTGCCATGGTTCTCCCACTCCAGACAGACGCAGGTGAAGATCCTCCCTGGTAAGCCACCTCGTGGGCTACACAGAATATTAGAAATGGGTTAGAACAATATGTAAGAGCTAGCCAATAAGAGGTTACAGATAACGGGCCAGGCAGTGTTTAAAAAACACAGTTTCCGTGTAATTATTTCGGGGCATAACCTAGCCATTCGGGCGGCCGGGTGCCGGGAACGCAGCCCTGCCACTCCTATCGCTACACCCCACACACAACAATCAAGCCAGTTTTTTAAAAGGGCAGAAGAGACGAGGAGAGCTTCACCAAGATAATATGTAGATGACAAGAGAAGGAGGCCCAAAGGCATCGCTCATTATCAGATGTGATAAAAGCCAACAGGACAACCCAACTCAGAAGACTGACCTCTCTAAATGCTGACAGGACACTGAAGCCCTCAGACTTCACTGGCAGGAATGTAAGATTATTCCAATCCTACTGAAAGGGCTGAGAATTTCTTACAGCATCAAAGATACACTTCCATTTCCACATAAAAATTGTAGTAGATTCTTCTAATGTGCAGCATGGTCTACATCAATCAGAATACTCTCATGCATTATTAGTATGTATATTCATGGTAACTGGATGCTGGAAACAAAGGTACATTGTAATTAAACAAATGGACAAACTCTGCATGTTTCCACAAAGGAATGCTACTCAGGAGCAGGTTAAGGACATAATGTAGAGAATCTCCAAAACATGCTGAACAAAGGAAACCAATATAGAAAAGCATGGTTTTGTGATTTAGGTACTATGAATTTCTAATAAAGAAAAGTTAACCTATAGAGATTGAAAGCTACAAAGCTTCTAGGTGTGGCAAGAAGTTTGCATCACTGAAAACGGATGTTATCAGATGGTGATATGGATCATATTTGCCTGGATATAAATTAAGCCTATTCAAGTTGAGGTTTAGGAAGTCTGGATTAGGGCTGCGGAGATGATTCCATGGATAGAGCACTTGCCTCTGCTAGCATGGGGACCAGATTTTTGGATCCCCATAACCCACATAAAAGCTAGGCAGGCTCAGTGGCTACCTGCATTCCCAGTACTCATGGGACAGAGGTAGGGGAACCTAGGGTAAGCTGGGTTCAGTGGGAGATTCAGAGAAGAATAGAAAAGGATATTGATGCAAATCTCCAGCTTCTGGTCTCCACATACAACTACACGTACATACATACCTCCCCACATATAATATTCATACAGCACACACACACACACACACACACAAAGTCTAGGCTATAGTTAGCTCTGATCACAAAACATATAAACAACCCAAGCAGCAAGAATACATACTCAATCATCTACATCATTTGATATACTTACTTAATTTTCTATATTCCTTTTCTTTTTTTGAGGGGGGCGGAAAGGGTGGAGGAAGGAAGGGAGGGAGGGAATGAGGGAAGGGAGAAGTTATTTACTGGAAATCAGAGGAGGAGGGAAGACTAGAGTGGGTCAGTTTGCTTTCAAAACAAACATTTATATAACTGAGATTAAAATGTAACCAGCCCCTTTCAGCAAAGCAGATAAAGATCTAGGTTGCCTGAACTTGTTTGGCTGCTCTGTAAAATAGCTGCAGTGTGCCTGGCATTGGGGCAGGATCATGCAGCAAGCAGCCCTTCTGTGTACCGGCTTCTGCAGAAGTGCCCTGTTGAAAGGAGGTCAGGGCAGAGTCTAGTAGAGGCTGAAGACTCTAAGAGGGGACCTTGCCATCATTCCCACTTGATAGCAATAACACTCGAATGTGACTTCTGCTTTAAACTCTTTCTTCATTTACTTCTCCCATCCACACCACGTGATTACAGTGTTTTCTTGACCAGCCATTTAACTGGAATATCATTACTTTCCCTCATCTGTAAGATGGTTGGATGGTGGTGGTTGGAGACAGGATTAGGGCATGATAAGTGCTGAGGAATGATGGCTGAATTAAGAAACCCAAGAATTTTTTTAAATGAAAAATCTAACATGGAGTCTCCTCCCTGCTTCTGCCCCATAAAGATTAGAAGTCTAAAGATATTCAGCACCACATCAAAAAGATTCATTGACTATTTTCCAGGTCAGGTTGGGTTTTGTGTCCAAGAGAGGGATTCTTGGCAGCCCACACTGGAATGTTGTTAGCTGAACAGGATTAACAGAGGGTTAACTAAGGTCACTACATTTCAAGCTTAACATTGTCAGTGATCTTTTTCACATCTAGTCATATCCAGTGGAAAAGAAATGGCTACCTCAAAAGAGACCTACTTCCCCAGAGAAAAGCTTTCTGTTCTGGAGAGCCAATAGTAAACTGAACTAGAGTCCAGATAGGTTTCTGTTTCAAAACAGCCACATTGCAAGTGAAAGTTTCAATGACTGTCCCAAGACTTCCAAAGTTATCTGTTGCTCTAAGGAAATAAAGATACCGTCTTTGAGGTTAACAGAGTGGCCCCGCCAAAGCAGATTCTAAGACAGTGGGAACCCATGCCCTGCAGCAGCCTTCCAAGGGCGTTCCTTTATGAATGCCAACTGCACTGCTTTGACAGGGTATAGCATTTCCTTACTACCATATTCCTGTAGTTCCCTAAAATCAGTGTAGACTGAACCCAGCATGAGTAATAATTGACTTCAACATTGTGGAGGGTGTAGGGAAGCTTAGCCGAGCCAGGAACCCCAAGTTTAAAATGGGGCTTCCACAAAACCTTCCAGGAAGTGGGCTACTTCCACACCCAGCAAGCTTTTGATCCCTCACCAAAGGGCAGAGCGCCAAGTATGGGGCTATCAAAGTAAAAAATGGGAGGAAACATGCAAGGATTTTATGAAAATGCATCTTTTTTTCTTTCTAGAAATTGCCAGCACTGTTGCAACGCGGTTCAGTATTGACCACCATCTCTATTTAACAACCCCCACCAGTTCTTTGTAAAGGAAATCTCAGGAAGCAATTCTGTGAGGAGGGGAGATGGACAAAAACTAGGCAGGCACAAGGAGTGTTGGTAATGTCTGATATTCATTCATTCAGTGACCTGTGGCTCCTACCAGTCAGGGGTAATATGCATTAGTTTTCAGAATTTAACAATCTCAATGGATACGAATTTTAGTTAAACAAAATAAAATCTACGTTATGACCGGCATTGTTTCTCTTAGAAGATTATATATATATATATATATGTCAGGGGTAATATGCATTAGTTTTCAGAATTTAACAATCTCAATGGATACGAATTTTAGTTAAACAAAATAAAATCTACGTTATGACCGGCATTGTTTCTCTT